GGAGTCACAAATGGAAGTAGGGTTTTCAGAATAAGAAATAATAATCATAATATATGTAATTAAATATTCCTTTGTGAAGAAAATTTTTGGCGAGATTTGATTGACTTTTCCTTAGAATTCTCTCGCCGGTTGTTGATCTTTTATCATCCATATAAATCAATTGTTTCTCATTTTTCCATCTACTTTCATTCTGCTAGAATCTTTCTATTTGATAGAAAATCATTTTGAAAAAGAATTTTCTTGAAGTTAAAAATTAACGGTGTGTTGTAACAGTGTTGCTTCACATTTTCTTATATATTGTACAAAGCAAAAAACATCATGCAAGGTAGTTACTTTCCAGTTCTCTTTTTTACTTTCGTGAATCAACTGAGTAATTTTCTCTCTTTTTCTTCTTTTCTATCTACCTTTTTTATTTTTCCCACACGGTAATTATCTTTCTGTTCCTATCCTCCCCCATACTTTGATTAACAAAACACGCACTTTAATTGTCACTTTAATTTTCTTAAGTTATTTTTTTTTTTTTTTGATATTCAATAGTTACATCAGAAAAACACATATATTCTTTTTTGGAGAGAATAGTTGTTACCATTGATGATAATTAATGGTATTTAAAACAGTAAAAATCACATTTGTAATTTCTATTAGTGCTCTTTTTAGATCTAGCTGATACAGTTTTGTCTCTTTTGAATTGTTTCTCTCCATTGAATTCAACTCTAGATTCAATTTGCTTTTTGAATAATAAGTACTCCATGATAATTAAAAAATGCTTTCAATGAGGGTATTTAATAATGTAATTCACACATGAATCAACTTTTTTTAATTTCCTCTTACTTGCATACACTGTTGTTTACTAGTTGCATACACGGACTCCATGGAAAAAATTCGTGCTTCAATGCACATTGCTTCTATCAGGTTTGATTTGATATTTGATATGTGTGATTCTAAGCCACCAGCGGGCATCTGTATGAAAATTTTCATAAGCCACCTCCAAGCATTGTTATGAATTTTTTTAGCATCTATTGTGTGGTTGCAATCATGAAATAAGATCAGATTAATTGGTGTGGTTGCAATCATGATAACATTTACCTTATTTGCAAATTGTCTTATCTTTAGTGACAAAGTTCTTTTTGGCAGCAATTCCTGGCACATTGAGAATGGCATACCTATCGATAAAGGAAAATTATTAAGTCATTCTAGAGTAATTTATGGATTACTTATTTAGTAATGTTGACAATGAGAAACCACATACCTCCTAAATGAGTTTACATATGGAGAAAGGGGTATTAAATGTTTGTGGTATAAAAGGAAACCAGGAACAGTGTCCCAGAGAACAAATTTCCTTTCAATGCAGAAAATTACACAATTATATTGAAGAAGTTGGAGAAGGTGTCAGTCGCCACCTGTTCACCGGGCTCTCGCATTCCTTTGTGTTGACTGGGATTTGGGAATGTATCCCTGCTCAAAATTGTCTTTGTTGTACATGAACTATTATGATTAAATTTATGGAATACGAATCCGTATTCTGCAGTGGTAATGATGTGTAATATGTTGCTATTCCATTGCATCTGCAATGTGCAACAAATGACTTAACCTATTTTTTCTTTTTATTTTTTTGAATTGTGTTTGTTGTTTGATTTGGTTTCAGACACGAATCAGTAATGTTTTATTTAGTCAAATTATATTGATAGCTGTTAAATTTTATTCATATTATTGTTATTTTTCAGCTTTACTTACAGGTATGTTTTTTAGGTTAAATATAACAGATTCAGAAACAAATTTTTTTTTTAAAAAAGGCTTAAACGGCGTTTTTTTTCAAACGCCACACGTGGCCAAACAGACATTTTTTTTAAAATAAAAAAATCTATCACGGCGTTTTAAAAACGTCGCTAAATATTGGATGACGTCATTTTATCATTATTTATCGCATTTAGCGGCGTTTTTAAAAATGCCGTCTATACTAATTTTACGACGTTTTTAAAGCGTCATAAACTTATAGCGACGGCCGCGTCCTCGACGTTTGGTGATAAGCGTCACTAAAGGAATTAGCGGCGTTTTTCATACATATAGCGGCGTTTTAAAAACGCCGCTAAAAGTTATTTTTCCAGCAGTGTCTCAAGGTCTCTTAAACATATATACATATATATATATATATATATATATTACTTTTTAATGATTAGTACATGATCTTACAAAATAAATTGAAGTGCAAATCTGCATAGCTGAGAATGGAGGAAAAGCTCATAGGGGCACCTGCTTGGACTTTACAAACTAAGGTGTTTTGGGTTCCAATTGGTAATATATTCTTCTAAAGGTTGGTTTCAGCTATTTACCTAAAAAAAAGGGTTGGTTTCGGCTGATTCTTATGTTTTCATACACTCCCAAGCTCTCTCATTTAATCTTGAAAAGTCATCTCTCGATACATAACATATATAGAAAAAAGATAGAAACTGTATAGCCTTATTCAAGTTTGTTTCTTGTTTTTTCTCCAATTTTCTTTAGTGCTTTTAATGAATATTGGATGTTCAATGTTTATTATTTTTTTCTTAGATTTAAATACTTAATAGATCATTCATAAAAAAAGATATAAACTGTAAGCATTAATTTAAAAGTATTTTTTTTTTCTTTAAAATATAGAATTAGAGTTAGTTTTTGTTAATGTTGATTGTTTGTGAATGTAATATTAATCTAGGTAACAAATAAAAATATATGAAAACATATTTTATTGCCATGTTCTTGTCCCGTGTCCGCATCCGTATCTGTGTCTATGCTTCTTAGGTTGCCTTCAAGAGCTATTTTAGTACACATTTCCTCCATTTTAACATAGTTTCTGTATGTTTGTCTTTTTTTTTCTGCAACAGGTTGCAGGAGAAGTTTCTTACAATGGGTACAAATTGGAGGAATTTATTCCCCAGAAAACTTCTGCTTATATAAGTCAAAATGACCTGCACATCCTGAAATGACTGTGAGGGAAACACTTGATTTTTCAGCTCGCTGTCAGGGCGTTGAAAGCCGAGCAGGTATGGGTGCTTCGAACACACAACAAGGTTCATTTTATTTGTAAATTCCTTATTGACTAATAGTACTAATGGTAATTGAAGTAATTTGTTTCTTGCTTAAGATTTAGGTCAGCAGAAGAGAGAAGCAGTCAGGAATTGTTCCAGACCCCGAACGCAGATATTTACATGAAGTACTTTTAGTTTCTCTGATCTTGTGTTTTTTATTTTTTCTCTCATGAGCTTATCTATTGTAATGTTCTAACTATATTTCTTTTCGCAGGAAATTTCTGTTGAAGGACAAAAGACAACCCTTCAGACTGACTTCATTTTGAAGTACTCCTTTAACATATCTGACATTGATCTTCCTTGTTATAATTCCTACAAAAAATTTCAACTGTTGATGGTTTGGCCATCATTGCCTTGGTTTCTCAGATTCTAGGGCTTGATATCTGTGCCTATACACTGATTGGAGATGCCATGAGAAGAGGTATCTCAGGTGGTCAAAAGAAGAGATTGACTACAGGTAGCCTTTCTGATTTTCTTTTCTTGATCTGGCCTATGCACAGTTTGACAGCTTCAATTGATAATTGGGTAAACTACCGATAGATTTTAATAGTTGAACTTAATTGCCATCAAGTCCCATTGAAAATAAATCCTAGTAAAATTGTCACTAAAAATAATTTTTTGTGATAGTTTTTTTTGCATTTGTTCCTAAAAATTGACAATTAGTGACCTTTTTCTGTGACGAATTTTTCAAACTGTTGTTGAAAATTGAAAATTAGTTATGCTTTTTGTGACTTTTTTGTTAAACTATCACTAAAACTTATAGTTAGTGACATTTTTTGTAACAGAATTTTCAAACTATCACTAAAAACTAACAAGTAGTGATGTTTTTTAATAGTGTTTGATGAAAAATGTCATTAATTATCATAGGACCTATTAGACAATAAGTCCACCTATTAGGACTTAATACATATGTCCCCCTAAATGATTCAACTCATAACTAGCATAACATAAAATAAAATTAAAAAAAAGAGTAAAATTCAGCTCACGGCTGCATCATATTTGGCATTGGTGATAGTCTTTGGAAAAATTACATTACCATTATCAAGAAAACTTTCAACTTCAAGGACATGAGTTGAATGTTACTGCTACGTGCATGCTTTTATTTTCTCGAACAGTAATTTGTATTGGTATTTTAGAGGCGAAATGATTGTAGGTCCCACAAAATCTCTATTTATGGATGAAATATCAAATGGCTTAGATAGTTCCACCACATATCAGATTGTTGCTTGTCTTCAACATCTAGCACATATCACAGATGCTACTATACTTGTGGCACTTCTTCAGCCCGCCCCAGAAACCTTTGATCTCTTTGATGACATTATCTTGATGGCAGAAGGGAAGATTGTGTATCACGGACCCTGTAGTCATGTTCTAGAATTTTTCGAGGATTGTGGGTTTAGGTGTTCTGAAAGGAAAGGGGTAGCTGACTTCCTCCAAGAGGTAAGTTTCTCATGGTCGTGGATCATATTGAATTCTCCCCTATGCTCTTATATTCTTATAGGATACTTTAAAAATGTTGAAAAGACTTACGTTTTTAGACGAGCTGATTTAATATGATATCGGAACAAACAATGGATCCTATATTTAAACTTTTACCACCTACTCGATGACCCATATGATATGTGAATTTATTTTACTCTTTTATAAAAAAGTGCCTAGTGGCACATGAAGTTTTGAGATGAGTTATTGGTTAACAATAACAACTGCATTATAGGTTATCTCAAAGAAAGATCAAGCACAATATTGGCACCAAACCGAACAATCTCGCAATTACATTTCTGTTGACATGTTTTCCAAGAAATTCAAGGAATCGCCTTTTGGTAAGAAGCTAGATGAGGAACTATCAAAGCCATTTTCGAAGCCTCATAACCACAAGAATACAATTTCTTTTAGCTAGTATTCTCTTTCTGCTGACATGTTTACCAATATTTGAATCAACTACTCAGATTAGTCATTTAGCAACCAGAAGCCTTACTGGTACTTTCAAATAAACATTCACACCCTACACAAACACACCCTTCTGAAACTGAATGGGAATTTTGAATTAATTTCTATCATTGCCTTGTATCTTAGGTTCTTTCTCCGGTTCATTATATTTTTAGCTCTACACTTAGCAGCTACATTCATGTTTCGTTTTGTGGCATCTGTCTTCCGCACCGCGGTTGCTTCTACAACAGCTGGTAGTTTGTTTGTATTGTTTGTCTTATTATTTAGTGGCTTCACATCCCAAAATGTAAGATTTCGATAACTCTTCCAATCTGATTTTTGGATAATTATTTAGGAAGATGAACTTAAGCTAAGCTATCTTGTTGCTTGCAGCCTCTATGCCAACATGGTTGAAGTGGGGATTTTGGGTTTCCCCGTTGACATATGGCGAGCTTGGACTTGCTTTAAATGAATTTCTAGCTCCAAGATGGCAAAAGGTGAGTATCTGAAAACAAAATTTCTCAATTTATTGGATAGACAACTCTAATCCCATCCACTTGACCATCCTAGCCCTATCCACATTTACTTTGGCTTGACCTCCATCACTTTTCTCCATTGCTCTAATGCTTATAATGTGTAGAATAAGCATATCAATTTGCCAATACCTCATTGGTCATGTTTTTGATTTGCCCAAACTTGACTGTTGCATTATGTACCTTCTCTTCTGAAAAACTACATGATTCGTGATTCGTAATAGATTTAATTGCAACAATTCCCAAACAACCAAAACTAACAATCTAAATCATCTAGGACGTACGCAAGGGATTTAGATTGTTGGTTCACAAATAATAAATCGACACAAACGATTTTTACGTGGAAAAAATCACAGTTGGAGCACCTCCAATTGTGATAAAAAAACCACGGGCGAAATGCCACTAATCAATCCACTAAGAAGAAAAAAAGAACACAAATTTACCAAACAATTTACCCAACCTCTGTAAAATTTTCTTCAACAATCCATGTCTCTTTCACCAATGCCTTTGTCTCAAAATTGATCAACTTGATGTCGAATCCACAACATCCATGTCGAATCAACGACCATGAGCAGCTACGAACTCTTTCAAAGACTCTATGCTTGAATCTTTGGAATCCACAGAAGAACACTCTTGTATTGAACAATCAAACAATCCTTTGATGTATACTTATCAAACCATGAGTTAAACTCAAACAAACATCAAAGAAATTAGCAAAAATGCTCTAGAAGAAAATTCTAATTCCCAAAAAGAAGATTTGGAAGTCGTACCCTAAAAATTGACTTGATCACAGATTTATAGCAATCAAATTCGCGATCACCGCTCGAGCAGTGTGACTTAAACGCATGTTTCTGAACAAGGATTTACGCTCGAGCATAAAAGCATGACTCCCAGTACTTTTGCAGAGAAGCAAAACTTCTAAGAGTGTTGATTTTCCGCTCGAGCGGTAAAGCCAAGAAAAAAAGGAAAAATTACAACTTCAAAACCAAGTTTGTTCGCAGAATTGGCAACACGTAGGGACCTAACAATCTCCCCCTTTGTCAATTCCTGGACAAAACAATCTAAAAATTTTTCCTAACAAACACACGCACTTGACACAACACCTAACAAAACAAAAGTTACAAAACAAAACTAGCTGAACTAGTTTAGAAACAGCATGAACAAGCCACCTGTTAAAACACAAACCAAAACTATGGAAATAGGATATTAAATAGAAAAATATAGATAATCCAATATATGCCACAACAATAAATCAATATCCATATCCATCAAAGTAGCATCCCAAAACGAATCCTATCCCAAACATATAACCAACAACAAAAAAGAATGATGGTTGTGCGTCCTCTGTGTGTGTGTTTCCAGTTGCCAAAAACCATATCCACTCCCCTTTTTTGTCCGGGAGGGACAAGCCAACAGTTAGAAAAATGATAGTATATACAAGCCAATAGAGAAAAACACAGCAAGAAACGAGAGAAGCAAAAAAGAAAACTGTCCAAACTGAAAACAACATCACTAATGGAAGTCGAACCACCAATAATCAAGGGGTGTTTACTGAGTGAATGCGGAGGCTCCACCTCAATCAATGAGCCCCCCTCTCCCCCTCCCTCATTTTTTTTGACTTTTCTTTCTTTTGGGCACTCACTGGCGGCTTGCACGCTCAAGAGTATGGAGACTAAACCAGAAAAGCATGAAAACAAATAGGATGGCCTCTGTTGGTGCCTCTGAGGTAGCCTTTTCCTAATGCCTGGACTTCAAAGAAGTGAGGGAGACACCGTGGAAGTGAAAATAGATGGTGGATGGTTAAGAGATTCAACATCACCCATGATATGCCAGTATAGGTCAATTCCTCTAGAAATGCATAAGAGACAGTGTTAAAAGTCCATTGAGAAATTTGATCACTAATGCGGAAACCCCTGCAATAGTTTATCTCAAGAATGTGTACAAAATGAGATTATGAATTCAATGAGCATATATATATTCAAAATGAGCTATGGACAAGGATATATGAAATCTTGCAAGCAACGTGAGAGATGTTCATTTAAGTCTATGTGCAAAGATAACAAGATTCAATGGCAATGAGATTATAGCATCCAAGTACACAGAGAGCCAATCACTCTCACCCACTCAAGCAACAAGTTACACTCTAGTTAGGGAGTACTACACCGAAGGTCTTTCTAAGGAACTCAAACCTAAAAGGATCAAGGGGTTTTGTAAAAATATCAGCTTTTTGATACTCAGTGGGTACATGTTCAAGAACAACAAGGCCCTCCTCAACTAACTCTCGAATAAAATGATGACGAATATCAATATGTTTAGTGCGAGAGTGTTGGACTGGATTTTTAGAGATTTGATGGCACTTGTATTATCACAGAAAATGGTGAAAGTGTCCTGCTCTATACCATAATCATGAAGCATTTGCTTCATCCACAACATTTGTGCATAATAACTCCCTACAGCAATGTACTCATCCTCGACGGTTGAAAGAGAGATGGCATTCTACTTTTGCTATGCCAGGCAACTAGATTATTCTCAAGGTAAAAACACCGTCCGGATGTGCTTTTCTGATCATTAGCACACCCTGCCCAGTCGGCATCAGAAAAACCAGTGATATCAGTTGTAGTGTCGGTCGAGAACCAAATCTCATTCCCCAATGTCCCACTAACATATGTAATGATGCGTTTGACAGCAAGAAGATGAGACTCTTTAGGACAAGCTTGGTAACGGGCACACACACCTACACTACATGCAATGTCAGGCTGACTGGCTGTGAGGTACAGAAGACTCCCTATCATGCTTCTATGAAGAGTAGGATCAACATCAGTGCCAGAGGAGTCTTTGGAGAGGTGAAGACTAGTGCTCATAGGGGTTCATGCATGTTTGGCCGACTCGAGACTGAACTTGGACACAAGATTTTTGGCTTACTTTGTCTGAGAAACAAACATTCCCGAAGGTGACTGTATAATTTGAAGACCCAAGAAAGAAGACAATTTCCCCATCATGCTCATTTCAAACTCATGTGTCATGCAATCTGAGAAATATTTCATAAGAGAGTCAGAAGTGGATCCAAACACAATATCATCAACATAAATCTAAGCAACAAGTATATGAGACTTAGCATGTTACACAAATAAAGTTTTGTCCACACTACCCCTTTGAAAGTCATTGTCAAGAAGGAAGGTAGTAAGTCTATCATACTTAGCCCGAGGAACTTTGTTTCAACCCATATAAAGCCTTGTCTAACTTGTAGACATGGTTTGGAAATTTTGGATCCTCAAACCCCCTTTTTGTTGCTCAACCTCTTCTTTCAAATACCCATTCAGAAAGCCATTTTTCACATCCATTTGAAACAGTTTGAATCCTAGAAAACATGCAACACCAAGTAAAATACGAATAGATTCGAGACGTGCAACAAGGGCAAATGTCTCATCATAGTCAACACCCTCTACTTGTATGTAGCCTTGAGCAACCAACCTAGTTTTATTTCTAACCACTGTACTGTTCTCACTAGATTTATTTTTAAATATCCACTTGGTACTTATCATATTCATGTCTCCAGGTCTGGGAACGTGAGTCCAAACTTTGTTACGTTCAAATTGACCTAATTTTTCATGCATTGCATTGACCCAACTATCATCTAGTAGGGCCTCTTTTATATTCTTAGGTTCAATTAATGAAACATAACACATACGAGATACCTCCTCCCGAATTTGTTTTCAGGTTTTCATTCAGTCTAAGACATTTCCAATCACTTGTTGAACCGGATGATTCAGTTTTACCCTTGCTGATGGCTTCAAACTAGGACTGGTAGTGATTTGAGCATCAGTGGTGGTGTCACTTTGTGCACTCTTTGGACTAGGACTTGCCAAAGGGGTTGATGCTGGTTCACCTTCTTGAGCTTGGCCTTGTGCTTTTCCTTGACTTTGTGGTTCTGTATCTAGAATTTGAGGAGCACCATCTTCTTCTTCATGTATAGATGTAGTAGGAGAACCTGTGTCATCTACAACCATATTGATCGATTCCATTAAAGATAAAATACACAGGTTATAGACACGAAAAGCTCTACTAGTAGTTGAATACCCTAGAAATTTCCTTCATCACTTGGGGAGTCGAATTTTCCCAAAGGCTCTCTATCTTTGAAAATATAACATTTACTCTCAAAAGTTTTGAAGTATTTTACATTAGGTTTTAATCCTTTCCACAATTCATAAGGAGTTTGTAAAGTGTCGGGCCTTAAATATACACAATTCACAACATAAACAGCAGTATTTAAGGGTTCAACCCAAAACTTGGGAGAAACGTTTTCGCTAAGGAGCATGACCCTACCCATTTCTTGAATTACCTGTTTTTCCTCTCAATAACTCTATTTTGCTATGGAGTAAGAGGTGTAGAAAATTCGTGCTTAATTTCATGCATATCACAAAAATCCGAGAACGAGCTATTTTTAAATTCACGACCATGATCAGTTCAGATTCTTATGATACGCCCAATAGAAACACCTCGTTCATTTTGGATTTTAAGGACTAATGACTTGAAAGCATCAAACGTATCATATTTTTCTCCAATGTTTTTAGTACGAGTGGGTCCTATAAGATCCATATGAACAAGTTCAAGAGGACGCTTGGTTGCTAAGCTATTCACCTTTTTGTGAGGGGCACTAGTTTGCTTCCTTAATTGACATGGCCCACACACTTTTGAGTACTCCTCTCACAATCTCCTTATTGGCTATCTTAGTTAGGTCTTTGAAATTCATATGACCTAATCTTTGATGCCACAAGTCAAGATTACTTATGATGGCCGAATGACAAGTGAGATCATTTGTGGTAACAATCCTATAGCAATTATCCGATGTGCAAACCCCATGCATGATAGTATTTCCCTTTTTATCCAAAATTTCACATTTATTTTTGAAAATAATACTTCATGATGAGAATCACACATTTGACTAATGCTCAAAAGATTAGCTTTAAGGCCATCAACAAGTAAGACATTTTCAAGCTTGGGTAAACCAGCCACACTTATAGAGCCCTTACCAATGACTGGAAGTGCCGCCATCTCCAAAGGTAACAATTCCCCCTTCATATTTCTCAAGAGATGTGAAGTAGGATTTGTCACCTGACATGTGACGAGAGCACCCACTATCAAGATACCACATGTGTGAGTCAAGCGCTTTCAATGCAGTGTGAACAACAAAACAAGTTAGGTCACTCTTTCTCACCTATATCTTTTTGGTCTTAACAGAAGCGGGACTGATAGTCTTGGTGAAAGTCTTAGCATTGAACACCATCATGAATCTTGGTATTCCGCCTAGACATGTAAAGTTGTCTCCTAACCCATGAAGTATTAAAATTCTTACTTTTTGAGATACCTTACCAAACAACTCATAACAATAAGGGCGAATGTAGCCATACCTACCACAATGATGACAAACAAAAACAGGTTTTATCTCCCTTTTGTTGATCTTACCCCCTTTAGGTTGATGGAGAGATTGATCATCCTGTTGAACCCTCATCTTTCCCTTTGCTTGAGTCTTGATGTCATGTGATGTAGAGACCTTTCCCTTTTGAGGTGTTGCATCACCATAGCCTACCCCTCTTTTGTCACAACTCATTTGTTGAGACCCGATGATGTCTTCTAGTGTCTTTGACCCTTTATTCCACATATCTATTGTGGCTCTAGCATCTTTGAGTTCTTCCTCTTTCTGACCAACTAGCTCTTCCAGTGCAACTTGTGTCATCTCAAGAGATTCCATCTTCTCTTTATATGTGGCATAGATTTTCAGAAGTTCATTCATTTCGGTTTCACAAGTCAATAGCTTTGCAGAGAGATCTTGTCTATCACTTGAGATCTTGATGACATCCTTCCTTGCTACTGAAATCTGTTTTTTTAGTTTGACATTCTCACTCTTACATGCTTTGAGTTTGATAGTGAGTTTGACATTCATCTTGGATAGGTTTAGAGATTCACTATATAGTTTTTCATAGGCTTGTTGAAGTTCATCACCATCACTCTCATCATTATCTTCTAAGGTTTCTTCATCTTCTTTTTGGCTCTCTTTTTCCTCGAGTGCATCCAGTCGAGCAACTAAGGCATGAACATTGCTGGATGGTTGTGAAGATGACTCCTCTTTTATGAAATTGCATAAGAACATCCCATGTTTCTTTGGCATTTTCGCAGTGAGCAATCCATTGTTCTTCTTCAGAAATGGCTTCACGGATGGTGTTCAGAACTCTTTCACTACTTTCCATGTCAGCTCTTTCAACAACACTCCACTCCTTAGTCGGCTTGTTGACCTTTTGGTTGGTGATCAGATCAATTAAAAATGGTGCTTCAACATTCCCCTCAATTTCATGCTAACCCTCAAAATCAAAGGCTCTGAGATAGACTTTCATTCTACACTTCCAATAAAAGTAATTGCTCCCATCAAAAGTAGGAGCACGCTGCACACTAGGCCCACGAGCAAACTCAACCAGCTTTGTAGTTGATTAAGTGACAAAATAGTAGAATGCCATGTAGGTACTATCTCCGTCTTCACTGGATTCGGTTTTTTCAGCTTCTTGTTCTGACCCGCTTTCATTATCCTAAGTCACTGTGTAGACTTTCTTTCTGTTCTTTTTCGACGGACATTCAAGTGCGATATGCCAGAAAATATTTGGTTGGAATTAATCCTTCCTGGATACAATTCATATCAGCATCGCTGTCTACAAGAGCAACAACATCTTCGATTATAAAATATGGTTTTATAATAAAAGTAATTATGATATACCATTTTTGGAATATAGCCTTGTTCATGAGAAGAAGATATTCAGGTTCATCTTTTTTAGTGCTGGATTCTGGTATGGTTATACCTTTATCTTTATTTGGCTGGTTAAGCTGATTATTAATTTCTTAATATCAGCATTAATAGCTAGGTTCGCTGTTTGTAAATGCTTAATTTCCACTTTTAAAGCATTTACTTCCATTTTAAGATCCTGTATAGTAATTGGTTTTTCTTCAAAAGTATTTTGAATTCGCTTGTAAACTTATGCCCAAACCCTTGGCATTCGTAGCACTTGACACCTTGTTCTCTCACATTCTTCTTCTCAGCTTTCGGAGCACCTTTGTGTGGAAAAGTTTGGATTTTTTATTACCCTTATCTTTTGAACTAGAGTCCTTGAAATTAGGCTTCTTGTTCTTTAATTTTTTTTTCTGGAACTGTTTGATAAACTTAGCCGTCATTTCGGACTCTAGATCAATTTCAACCTCAGGGTTCTTAGCAGTCTCATGAGCATTAGTAAAAGCCACAATATCTTTTTGTGTTTTCTTAGAAATCTAGTGAGCTTCATAAGTCTGCAAGTTTCCAACCAACTGATCAAGCTTGAGGTTCTCAACATCCTAAGCCTCCTCTATAACTGTCACTTTTGATTGGAACCTATCGGGTAAAGACCTCAAAAGTTTTTCAACAACTTTAGATTCAAGAATTTTTTCACCGAGTGTGAAACAGGAATTCACGATGTCACTAAGTTTGGCATAAAAATCATCAAACGTCTCATCATCTTGCATAAAAAGAGTTTCAAAGGAAGAGGTGAGATGTTGAAGTTTTGATCTTTTAACAGTAGTAGTACCCTCGTGAATTGTTTCAAGAATGTCCCAAGCCTCTTTTGCTACTTCACACATACAAATACGATGAAACTCTTCTAGTGTGACCGAAAAAAAGAGAGAATTGAGCACTTTACTGTTCCAACTTGAGTTTTTGTAATCAACTACGTCTTATTTATCAAGTGGTTTAGGTATATCAACACCATCGATGGTGACACTAGGTTCGCTCCAGATGATAAAGTGCCAAACTTTCTCATCAATAGATTTTAAAAATGCCCTCATGCGAGCTTTCCAATAAGAATAGTTTGTCCCATCAAGTAAAGGAGGTCTATGGGTCGAGTTACCTTCACGAATTGAATCATGACACGAATCACACAAAATCACACTTCTATGGTTTTATTAAAAACAAAGAGTGACCTGCTCTGATACCAATTGAAAAACTACGTGATTCGTGATTTGTAATAGATTTAATGCAACAATTCCCAAACTACTAAAACTAACAATCTAAATCATCTAGCACGTACGAAAGTGATTTAGATTGTTGGTTCACAAATAATAAATCAATTCAAACGATTTTTACGTGAAAAAAACCATAGTTGGAGCACCTCCAATTGTAATAAAAAAACTACAGGCAAAACGTCACTAATCAATTCACTATGAAGAAAGAAAGAACAAAAATTTACCAAACAATTTACCCAACCTCTGTAAAATTGTCTTCAACAATCCGTGTCTCTTTCACCAACACCTTTGTCTCGGAATTGATCAGCTTGATGTCGAATCCATAACATCCATGTCGAATCAACGACCACGGGCAGCTACGAACTCCTTCAAAGACTCCACGCTTGAATCTTTGGAATCCACAGAAGAACACTCTTGTATTGAACAATCAAACAATCCTTTGATGTATACTTATTAAACCATGAATTAAACTCAAACAAACATCAAAGAAACTAGCAAAGATGCACCAGAAGAAAACCCTAATTCCCCAAAAAAAGATCTAGAAGTCGTACCCTAAAAACTGACTTGATCACAAATTTATAGTAGTCAGATTCGCGATCATCACTCGAGCGCAGGAATGGTCGCTCGAGCGGTGTGACTTAAACCCGTGTTTCTGAACAAGGATCTACGCTCGAGCGTTGGAGTGTTAGCTCGAGTGTAAAAACACAACTCCTAGTACTTTTGTAGAGAAGCAAAACTTCTGAGAGAGTTGATTTTCCGCTTGAGCGGTAAAGCCAAAAAAAAAAAAAGAGGAAAAATTACAACTTTCAAAACCAAGTTTGTTCACAGAATTGGCAACACATAGGGACCTAACATCTTCTAATTATCAGGGAATCTTCTGAGTTCAAATTTAGTTGACTAGTACTTTTTCATCCATAACTTCATTTGTGCAGCAGATCATATTGATATGTCAATCCTTGATGGCAACATTCATGCTTATTGTTTGTTTTAGTTGGAGTTATGTGTCTATTTCTGTTATTTTTCTTTCTTCTTCCAATAACCTGATATTCTACACTTTTATGCAAAATTATAATTTGTAGATTAGATGCTTATGATGATCTTGTAAGATATACAAGTTGGTACACTTTTTTATCTATGATATTAGCAAAGGTTTTTAGTCTGCTATTATTTGGCCAATGATGTTACTTACAGTTTATTTGCAAGTAAAATAGATTGCCAAACCTTCTTATTCATTCTATGCTCTTCATTATTTTGTGTGGACGCTGGCGGTGAACATAACCATAGGGCAAGAAACTCTTGAAAGCGGTGGATTATACTTTCACGGATATTTCTTTTGGATATCACTTGGTGCCTTATTTGGATTTATAATAATTTTCAACATTGAATTTACCTTGGTCTTAACCTTCTTAAACTTTAAGTTTGTCTTTTGACTACATGAAGTCAACATAAGAATTGCAGAGTGATGAGCTCATTTCATTTCAAAATGAATTCAGCTCCTGGTTCTCGTGCTATTCTCCTAACACTACTACAAAATCTCTTAAAGGTTGTGTATTTTTAGATTTTTCTTTATTCTCTTATAATTATTGGAACCATTGCTTCAGATGATTCTTTTCCTTTATTTATCGTCTTACAAGTTTATTCTTGTTTCACTTAGTAAGGGTGGGTAATCTCATTTTATAGGTCAAGTGGTTTTACTTTTTGAACCCCTCACTTTGGTGTTTCAAAATGTGCAATTCTATGTTGACACCACTGCGGTAATCATATAAACAAATCTCTTATAAATCTTATGTACCTGTTAAATATTTAGAACTAATTGGATCAAATTACATTGGTTAATTTTGTCATTTTTCTTTGATTTCAGGAAGTGAGAGAAAGGGGGTTCACTCAGAAAAAACTTCGTGATATTACAGGTGCATTTAGGCCTGGTGTTCTTACAGCATTGATGGGTGTCAGTGGAGTTGTGAAAACAACTCTTATGGATGTTCTTGCTGGAAGAAAAACTAGTGGCACTATTGAAGGAGATATTAGAATTGGGGGGTTTCCTAAGGTTCATGATACATTTGCTAGGATTTCGGGTTACTGTGAGCAAACCAAAATACATTCTCCACAAATTACAGTTGAAGGATCAGTGGTTTATTCTGTTTGGCTCCGTCTGTGTCCTGAAATTGATTCAAAAACTAAATTTGTATGACCTATATATAAGGAAGTTTAATTTACTCTTTAATTCTACAACAATAGTTTAAACATTATTTTACTTCTGTTGGTGCTGCACATCTTTGCGGGAATTTGTGAAAGAAGTCCTTGAGATCATTGAGTTTGATGAGATCAAAGATTTTGGCATGCCCGGTGTTAGTGGTTTATCAACTGAGCAGAGAAAGCGTCTTACATGGAGCTTGTTGCTAACCCCTCTATTATTATCATGGATGAGCCTACAACTGGATTGGATGCAAGAGCAGCTGCAATTGTTATGCGAGCTGTGAAGAACATGGCTGAAACAGGAAGAACAATTGTTTGCACCATTCACCAACCAAGCATTGACATTTTTGAAGCATTTGGTGAGGTAGGAAAACAATTAATGAACTATTTTAAGAGAGAGCTTGGAACATAATGTCAATTTGGATACTGAAATGGAATTAATTATGCAAGTTTTAGAGCTGTTTGATTGCAACTAAAGCATTTTTTAACTCAATAGCGTAAGCTTGACTCAGAAAATGATACATTAATGTGACAAGCTTCAAGACCTATCATACCTCCAGATTTGAAGCGTTCGAAATATTGAATCATTCTGTCTATTGCATTACATTACTTTTACATTTTGTTTCTTTTTTGAATAAGCAGGACATTTTTAACATTAGTTTCTAGAGAACATCCATTTTTTTAAAATGGTCTTCTAATTTAATTCCATATTTTTTATTCAATGTAGATAAATTAAGTCTAATGCCTCCTTTACATTGTAGTTAATTCTGTTGAAAGCCAGTGGACAGGTTATTTACTCTGGACCATTGGGTCAGCATTCAAGCAGTGTCATAGAATATTTTGTGGTCAGTTTGCTAAAAGAATACATAAAAGAGCAGAAATTGAAGTATTGAACATATTGATTACAACCATTTCTCTCTAACAGGCTATCTCAGGGGTGCAAATGATCAGAAATAATTACAATCCAGCAACATGGACGTTAGAGATCACTTCTAGATCAGCAGAAGCTCAACTTTGTATTGATTTCGTCCAAGTTTATAAGAACTCTGTCTTGTATCAGAACTGCTCACCACCTCTTTCTCTTTTGAGTTAGGATGGTCATTATGAACTTGCTTGCTGTGATACAATAATGATTGTTTTATGATATCAATTTTCATTTTTGTGCTTCATTTTCGTTCATTGTGATTGTAGGAACAATAAAGAGCATGTAAATAGGTGTAGTACTCCACCTCCTGGTTCAAATGAATAGTGTTTTGAAACTCGCTTTTCACAAAATGGTTGGGGACAGTTCAAATCCTGCCTCTGGAAACAGCACCTGTCTTATTGGAGAAGTCCTTCATACAACTTGCGGCATTTCACGTTCATGCTTATTGCATCTTTGTTTTTTTGGGATACTATTTTGGGATCAAGGGAGGAAAATGTAAGTAGTAAAACAAATTGAACGCGGGTGTCAATGCGTTTCACAGACATTTTTTCTTCTTCTTTTCAAGTATGCATTGTGTTACTTTTCATGTATGCATTATGTATTTCATAGATGGGGGAAAAAAAAAAAAACCCATCAAATGCAGTTCTAAGATTCATTTGAACTCTAATTACTACATTATTAGATCTGGGATTCCATTATTATTTTATTGGATAGACTTCTGTACATGTCTAACATAAATAATCATTTTATTTGATAGAAATAGCCAACAGGGTGTCTTCAATGCACTTGGTTCAATATTCTCTGCTACGATCTTCTTGGGCATAAGTAATTCCTCATCAGTTTTACCATATGTCGCAATGGAGCGATCTAGATGTATGGTTAGTGGGCTTGTGCACTGGCTCAGGTATAAATTTCTTAAATACTTGATTTTCTCAAAATGGGATCAAAGTTTTAACCTCTTAGTACCTAAAGCTTGGAAGCGTCAGTTAAGCTATTTCAATGTTTTTGGCATTTCTCATAGAGCTTCTGAGAATCAATAATGCTTTATGCAGTGGGCTTCTTTATCACTGTCTTGTCCTCCAAAATGCTAGCTTATTGCACTATAATTTTTTCAATCGAATATTAGAGTTAACTAAATCCACCTTGTCCAAATTTAAATGCACATGCTAATTTTGCAGGTCACGGTTGAGGTTCCGTATCTCCTAGTCCAAGCGATTGCATTTGTGATCATTACATATTCAATGATTGGGTATTATTGGTCAACTTGTAAGGTTTTCTGGTACTTTTATGCCATGTTTTGTACATTTCTATACTTCACTTATCTTGGAATACAACATTGACACCGACCTTTCCAGTGGCTGCAATTTTACAGTCAGCCTTACACAATGTTGAGCCTGTTCTCTGGAGATCTAATTCCTCAACCGGTAAGCTACTAACCTTTACTCACTGGTATCTGCATTGATTTTAGTTAACATTCCGTTGCACTTTAGATTATTAATTGGGAATGAACTCCATGCTGTGGTGATAATAGAATTTGCTAGGACAATCAACATAACTTTATTCGCATGATATCTCTCAATCTCTCCTCTAAAACTTGAATCTCTCGTTTCACACTCGAGGGTCCCTGCCTTTACTATTGCAGTCGTCAATAGATGAAAATCACTGAGTCAGGTTGGAGGAAACTTATATGCTCCAAGAACAGCTCAGAAAATCTCCTTCTCAAAATGGTAGTCCTGTTTTATTTGTACCCAATCCAAACCAATTTTCTTCCCGTTAGTCCTATTATATTTGTTCATTGCTTTAGTCCTATTTTACAACTCTTTGCTCACAGTCCAGAAATTTGCTTGAAATTTGGGAGTTTTCAGTCCCAACTCCCTAGCAGTAGGTACTCTGTTGCTTTTTGGAGTTTATTAAAATTCAAGGTTCCCAAGGTTTTGTGCCAATCACCTGTTTTGTTGTGTTTTCCTTTTTTGTATTTTTGGGAACAAAACAATAAAAAGTTCGAAAGGACTCGTTATTTTAATTTTTGTGAGAAAAACAATTGCTGAAAATTTGAAAAAGAACTTTTTGATGTCTTCTAAAAATGGGTTATTTTCATGAATTCTAGAGATGTCGTAGCAAATTTCCAAGTGGTGGATATGAATGTATTATCAAACTCTGAGCCCTACGCATTGAACGGTTCGGATTATCGCCTTGGTGGTGGAGGATTGTAAGAAGTGCCTTGTGAAGGGGGTCTCTATGAGAAATTAGGGTGATTTCTCCATCCCGGATTGTATGTGTTGGAGTATGGATCATTACCCGGGTTGGAGAATCCTTGAGCCGCATTCACATGCTCTTGGACTAACTTCGGAAATTGTGATGCCGAAGGGCACTTACTCAAGTCATGAGCAGGGCTCGCACAAATAACACATGCCTCGTGAAATTGAGGCTGATCTTGCTGGGTAGGGGCATGTCCCATAGATAATAATTGGTCCATCTTGGGACAGTGCCTTTACTTGTTGGGCTAACTCTAGGTTTTGTCCAACCTCATAAATGCCCCATCTTTTCGAGGCTCCAACTACTGGTTGCCGGACTTGCCGGGCGGCAGAGGCATGGTGAAGGGAATTATCACTTAGATTCTCAAACAATTGCCATGCATTGGCATCATTTTTAGACATGAATGTCCCACCACAGGACGAATCCACCATTTGGCGGTGCAGCTCAGTTAAGCCATAATAAAATGTTTGAACAAGTTGCCAATCAAGCACTTGGTGGTGGGGACACTGTTGGAAAAGGTCTCGAAGTCTTTCCCACGTCTCATGGAATTGCTCGCCATCCATTTGAGCAAAGTTTGTGATGGCTCGCCTAAGTTGGTTGGTTTTACCTATGGGAAAGTACTTCTCCAAGAACCGTTGCTGTAATTGGTTCCAAGTTGTGATTGAATTAGCAAGTAAAGAATTTAGCCAGTGTTTGGCTTTATCCTTTAATGAGAATGGAAACAATCGCAACATTAAGGCCTCATTTGTGAAATTTTGGATCCTCACTGTCGAGCAAATTTTCAAAAATTCATTCAAATGCTTATAAGGATCATTATGAGTTAGTCCATGGAATGATGGCAGCATTTGTATGGTACTGGACTTAATCTCATAATGAGCAGCAGTGGTGTTGGGTAATTGGATCTATGATGGTGATGTATATGCAGTGGGTGTAAAATAATCCTTAAGGGTCCGGTTAGGCACATTCGGGACATCAGGATTTGCCATCTCTAATGGCTCAATGTATGAATACGAATACTCAAGCCTAGGAACACGGGCAGAGGCCCTAAGTCTCCTAAGAGTCTTTTCTAGTTCAAGGTCCAAACTCCATAGTTCAGGGCGACAAGAATGGCGCCCGTGCATACACTACCCCCCCCCCACACACAAAAAGTTCGACTCTGAGCACTAAGTTACGAAAGCAGAATGCTAAAGAAGAAATACTCACAGCGGTTCAACAAAAACGCTTTATTCGTCTTACGGATGCTTGACGTGTACACGTTGCTCCAACCTCTATTTGAGCTTTGACTTTCGTTTTAGCACTTTGGTGCTTTTCTTGTGAGTGTTTGCTTCTGTTTACTCACTTTAGTGCTGCGTTTTTTTTTATATATATTTTTAAAGTTCGGCTGCACTTCGCTTGCACTTTGGTGATAGCTCCAATTTCAAATGCTCCGCATACTTAGCAACACAAAAGCATAAAATTCTAAACTAAAAATTAAAATAAGAATTTAACTTTAAATTACCTAATTTCGCCATAAATCCCCGTCAACGGTGCCAAATTTTGATGGGTCATTGAACACACCAAAAATAATCACTAAACTATACCAAATTCTATTAGAATAATGGCAAGTCCAGGTATCGATCCACAGGGACAAATGTGAAATTAGATTAATTCAATCGCAAAATTCCTAAATTAATTTTGATTAAAAAGATAAGATTGATTTTATATCTAAACATCAATTAAATAAAATTGAAGAATTATATTGACAATTAAAATTTAGGGTTTGAGATATTAATTTTCGGGAAAAATCTTAGGGTAGAGAATTCACCACTAACCACATAAATGAGATTTAACATTAACCATCAATCGCAATTCGGTTTGAACTATCCAATATTTCACAACTACAAGTTTGAAATATTGATTAAGAGGGTTGTTGTATTCAATGTACAGACATGAATCATCTCGAGTAGTACGAGTCGTTTGCTCTAAACTATGTTAGCAAAACGACCCGTCTCTCATAGCATGACTCGTCTCATACTTTGAATACAAACACAAAGAATACTAATGTATGGAAAGCATTAAACAATCACATAGAGTAAAATGCTTGAAGAGATGAACGAAACAACTATTAAAAACTTCTAAAACATCCATACATTCATTAAAACCAATCTACAATTAAAGCTCATGAAAAATTTCATTACATGGTGTAGGAGAGGGTTCAAGAAAAGAGTTAGAAAATTCGAAGATCTTCGAAGATCCTTGAAGAACAACTTCGAATTCTCTAGAATATGATTGAGAGGCTTAGATTCTTCAAT